ATCTTGAACCTACAGGAATTAAAACTTGCTCATGTTCCACGCTCTCGAACATCGTGTCCAGATGATCTGTACATTGGGAGTCGGGGCGGCAGCGATACCCTTGACAGACAAAGTGAGCGCATCCACTTCCTCAAGGCCACATTTGGTTAGCTCCGTCCGAGAGTGCAGTATGTATATACCTCACAAGGTTCGGTCCGATACTCGTTTACAGCCGGAAAGTGGGGGGGGGGGGGGGGTTTCATTGAGAGATACCATAATATGTGGATCCAGTACGAAGTACTCGGTACATAATGTATCTTGGCACCGCGCTGAGGAACTTTACCCTTGAGATAATATAGAGCTAAGTACTAGTCTTGCACGATAACTCTCCACCAACAGCACTGGTAGATGGAATCCAACTACGTCCATTTACCATCCTGTTCCTGGCCTGATGTCCAGAAGCCTGGCGTACTTGGTGAAGTGTTCATCAACCTGCAGCATCTTCAGCTCTTCCGGTAAGGTGCCCAGTTCAAGCTCTACACCGCCGTCTGCTCTCAAAGGATGGATGAGAGAAAATCTGAAGCGCCGATGCCCACGCTCTATCTGTGGCCAAACAGCTTCCGGCCTACCTCCAGCGAAGATGCCCTCACCAAAAGAGGAAAGATTGTCTTCGGGTTGCCACAAGATCATGTTGGAAATCATCTCGTTCATGTGCTCCAGACCCATGTTCGCGGTCGCCGGCTTGGTATAGTCCGTCATCGATCGCAAGAGAGTGAAGGCATCGTGGACCAAGGCAGTGTTGACTCGGGATATGGTTTTGCGAATCACAGAGGCAATCTTTGCCAGGCTGGTGTCTGGCGAGCACAGTTCTTCGATAGGCATCATTGTCCGACTCATAATGAGTAAGCTGCCCATGTAAGATGATGGCAATTGTGAGGAGAAGTACAGCCTGCCGTCGATGGGTATCTCCAAAATGGACATTTCATCCGGGCCAAAAGCCTGCCCTCGAACTTGTTTGGCCACCAGATATCGTGCCCGGATTGCTGTGCGCCACAGGAATGCCTGGACGATGTCGCTGATCGATACGTTCTTGCTCCTGACTTCAGGGTGCGAAGCCACGTCGTATTTGAGCTTTTGTAGATTCTCGCGGGAGATCAAGAAGAACGTACTGGCCAAAGAACGATCTGAAGGCGCCGTGGGCCATCTAGGCTGGCGTCGATAAACCGGTCTTGGAAAATCCAGTGAGAGCTCTTTAGAGCTTGTCCTGATCTTGCGGTCGCGCGATTCAACCACCTCGTCCGGTGGAAAGAATGGCAAGAAGTCCCACACAACAGGGTCAACTTCGTGAGCGGCTTTGGAGTACCCCTCGCGCTGGTAGAGAATTTCGGGCAGACTGTGATTGAAACTCTCGGGGTCATACCAATCACACGTTGCTGAATGATCCCCTTGCACATATCTGCAGCATTCGGCCCAGACTTTGAGTGCTATCAAGGCGCCCAATCCGTCAAAACAAGTATGGATGAAGTTTGTGGCTAGAATGCATCCGCCCTCCACAAAGTTCGCATGAGCGACCAAGAGGTCGGCGGGCATATCTGGGAAGGGGTAGCAATCAAGAACGGTTCTGTCTGCAAAGAGAGAACGTGAGAAACCCTTGTCTCGCATCTCTTGGAATGAAGGAAGAACGTGCTTCATATCCTTGTAGAGGAGTTGTCTAGGATCAGAAGTAGTTGCCATTGAAGGAGGGGGGATTGTGATGGAGTATTCGCCTTTCCTGTAGCCGAACTCGTGCTCAGGGGCGTGCATCATTTTTCCATCAAGCTCGGGGATGATTTGGAATGCACGACACAAACCGGCTTGGAGACCTTTGAAGGCGTCTTGAGAACTGGTCCCAGGAGGTAAGGCGAAGAAGAAGGTGAAGCCCATATAGTGGTTTGGATTCACCGCATCAAATGGGTTCATTTTGAAACCCGTGCGTCGTTTGTGCTCATGTATTGCGTCCAGAAGATCATATTCCTCGGTCGTACCATTTGTTGATTGCTGGATTGTGTTACCGTCTGGGTGATCGACTCCTCCATTTGTAAGTTCATTGGCCGGAAAATCTGCCGTTTCTTTCGTTTCTTGTTGTAGTAGTGTTGCGAGGAACGCCGAAAACTTGGAAAGCGTTGGATTTCCATAGAGATGTCTGGCAGTAAGTTTGTCCTTCAAACCTGTAGCTGCTCGAATCACTCTGATACAGTGGTATACCAGAAGAGAATCCAGTCCCATGTCAAAGACGTCTTCGTCCGGTGATGCGGCTTGAACTTCAGGGATTATCGAACACAATACTTTTCGAACCGACGAAAGAATGGTTTCCTCTGAAGTTGCGTCTATTTTGTAGATTTCGAATTCTTCGTTGATTGCTCCTTCATCCCTCGTGGCGTAAAAGCGATCGATGAATTCTGCATAGAGTTCCAAAGTGGCTCGGCGCTTGATCGTTGACTTGTCCGTACGAATGAAGGGCTTGTCTGGCTCTGCAAAAGCAATATAGTCTCGTTGAAGTCTGACCTTTTGGAAACCAGAATTATTCGCTCGTTCCACGATTTCCCAAATGCTGTCAAACAACTCATTGTTTCGAGTTGAAGGATCTTTGAGTTCAATAAGCAAACCTGCCTGTGGTTTGCCTGTCCCAATGACTAGACAGCCATCAACTGCAGGATGTGTTGTGATCAATGCTTCTGTGTCCAGAGGAGCGATCTTGTATCCGTTGGACAAGACCACTGCGTCATCACTTCTTCCTTTGTAGGCGTACAAGTATGGCTTGGAGGGATGTCGTATATAGAGGTCTTTGAGGTTCACAGATTGTTGGTCGGGGAAGGTGTAGAATACGCCTTGGAACAAATCCCATTGAGGTTTTCGAAGCACCCAGTGCTCATAGACACCCGGTTCGATTTCTTTGAATTCGAATCCTGCGAGAGGATGAAAGGCAAACCAATGCCAGTCTTCTCTTTCCGGCCAAAGATTGCCCATGAACAAACCTTCCGTGGTTCCGGTCAGATTCATCACTCTTACGACGTCGTTGACCTTTTTGACGAGAGTCGCACTGACAGGACCTGAAATCACGCCGAATTTAGTTTGATGAGCAATATGATAGTAGGGACTTGCGTGTTACTTACCACCAGATACACAAATGAATTTAGCAGAGGCGAACTTTGGCAAAAGTTCAGAGGTTTCGGCTAGTTCATCGGCGAGGGATGGAATCATATGCCAAATGTCGATTTTTGCATGATCCACCAGATTTTCCATGAGCGCCATGTTGGGCAGAGCTTCAGCCGGACCCAAGACGCAATGAAGCTTGAAGAATGCAGGCACGACAATGTCCATCAGCATGCCCGCACCCTGATGTTTCCAAAAGAATTAGCATTCATCTTGGATTTAAATTCTGCCAGCGCAGACTGGAGCAAGGTGAATCGTAGGGAAGAGTAACTAACATGACTCATTGGAAATGACGAGTAGATCGTGTCTCCTTCATTCCAGTTATCAGTCCAAGGGGGCAGTCCATGATCCCCCTCTGTCGGAGGAAGCAAGCGAACAGCGTCCAAAGTACCAATCAGCCCATGCGTCCAGGAAATCGGTTTTGGAATTCCCGTGGTGCCAGAAGTATGTGTGATACAAAATGGCTCATGTGCAGCTTCTTCAAAGGTCTTCTGAAACGGGAATGGCTCAGCAGTTTCAGCATCGAGAAGCTCTTCCAACCCAGGTAGTTGAAGGATCACCATGGGCTTTGACGATGTGAATCCCTCCACCAAAGGGAGCGCTGGTTGTTCCCAAGGCTTGACCCAAATATCGCATTTGGCTGCATTGAGAACTGCCAAAGCACCTTGAACATTGTTCTTGGGTGATAGAAACAAGGCCTAGGTTAAGATAATCTGAGTTGTCTCCTCCATAGTGAAATCGTGATGCTGAGCAACTTACTGCACAGTTGGCCTTGATGGCGCCGTAGATCAAAAGAATATGTCGGAGATCATCTTCGCTCGAGTTAATATGCAGGAGTCTTTTGCTCACAAGGTCACGGTTCTAACTTACGCGGGCCAATATACCCTATGGTTAAGATCTTCTTGTCGGGTTTGCCACGACTTTCATCAGGGCCTTCGTTGTGAGTTTCCCTGTGTTCTCTGGTCTGATTGTAGAGCCACCAAGCGGTCTTGTCAACCGCTTTTGCAAAGAGACGAGCAGTAATGGTCTGGAAATGCGCAGTATCATTTCGAAATGATGCCAAAGAGTAAATTACTCGATCAGGTTCAGTAAGGGCTAGGTCATCCAAGATCTGAGGAAGCAGCCTTTTGCCATATCTTGGTTGCTTATCGACGGCCATTGCAGTTGATGGATGTGGAAATATCGGTGGACTTGATCTCTTGAGTCTCCAACGAGCAAATGAAAAGGTCAAAAATCGAAATGTGATGATGGGCCCTGTCGACAACTTATGGAATCATGCTTTCAGAACCAGACAATGTTTACTTTTCTAGCTTGGATCAGCTTCTAACCATGCCCCGAGGACTATCTTCCGGCTTCTGCTGCTTCGTCCACTTCGCCGCTCTGCTGCCGTCCTTGAGGTTATGCGAGAGGCCACGTCTCCCACGCTTCTAATCCAGGGTAGAGGATCATTCCACTTGCTGCACATGCCGTGTAATGCAACGGACATCCCTTACTTTGAAACTAGTCGAAAAGGATATAGATTATGATGTGGGTCGCTTCTTATGCAATGTAACATCCTTGATGCGCGTACTCGGTAAGAGTCGGTGAACATTGAGCATGTTTCTGCCTGTGTGGGTCTGGCCGGGTCCCCCAGAGCCTTTTGACTAGAATTGACAGGTTGTAGTATGTCTGTAGCCGCAGCACATACTATACTCACCAGATCCTGTCCTGCAGTCCACTTGGGATAAATCATCATCAGAAATCTTGTTGTGCTCTCAAGGTATCAGTTGGACAACTGCAGCGGATTGACTCTTGTGAACCTCCCAATTGCTCTTCATACTCATCATAATATGGCACTTACTGCGGATACTGATTCGATTACGAACGGCCATGTGCTAAGCAATGGATGCCTTCCCATTCCCGGTCAGAATGAAATCACCAATGCCTCTCTCGAAAGCCTGGCACCATTCAACGTCATTCCGCAGAAGCTCGCAAGCATGGTAGTCACGATCTCGAACACACCGACTTCTGATGAAGAGGATGCCTCGATCACCCTCATCTCCACCAATATCTTGGAGATCATCTTCGACTACGCGTTGAACAAATTTGACGACTGCCGAGATCGGCTTGAGGCTGGAAGACCCAAGTTCATATCGGTTCTCAACAAGTTTGTCAAAGCAGGGGTCCGGATCGATATGTGTCTTCCAGCATTCCCTTTCAAATCAGCGAACAAAGTCTACAAGGCTCTCGGTTTTCTGCCCGACAAGGCCGAGGAGATCGCCTTGGCCCGGTTGCACAACATGTGTAGGCGTATTGAGGAGATATATGCACCGGGTGCTCACGTTGTCATCATTTCGGATGGGCTTGTCTACAATGGTTCGTCCCATGATGCTTTGTCACTGATACTCATTAACGCGGAACTGTAGATCTGCTAGGCATTTCAGATAGAGACACTTGGCATTATGGGCAGGCTCTACGAGAAATGGCCGTCGAAAAGGCATTCACCAATATCGGATTCTCCAGATTGAAAGACTTTGTAGATTTCAAATTACCGGACTCCTTGGACGAGATTTCCTACGTCGCCAACGCTACCAACTTCCGTCGTTTCATTCTCAACAAGTTTGGGAAAGATGACCTAGACATAGATCAGCTGATTGCCGATGACGAAGATACTCGACTGACCTATCAAGGATATCGAAGGTTCTTGATGTCAGACTTGCGGCACATCTACACGCTCGGGGGAGCACGGACCAGCAACACATACAAGAGGGAGACGAAGTATTTAGCCAAGCAAATGCTGGTTCGAGGCTACGTAAGTACAACAAAGGAGTAGACCTCGAGGCCTAGGTTGCTAACACTTGCCCTCGGGAATAGGCCTTTGCGGGAGCGATCAAGCAGAACTTCCCAAATCATCTACGACTTTCGATCCATCAGTCTACCGGAGAGCACAAAGTTTCCATGAGCTTGCTGAACACCAAAACCGGGTTCACGACCCCTTGGCACTGCAGTGTCGCTCTGATGGCTGACGGAGAATGGATGAGTGCACCGATGGGAGACTTCAAGGAGAATCCGAGAATGAAAGTGGTTGAAGAAAAAGGCCGTCCAAGTTACTTTCGAGAAATGACAGAGGAGGAATTCCTAGAAGAACAAAATTTAGCAGACCAGGCCGCCGCCGTACAATTGGAAAAGCCGGCCGTCGACCAAGATCAGGAGCAGGAGAGAAACGAAAACTTTTTCCACTGGGAGAATCTTTCTTATGATGTCAAGAGTGGCGACAAGACCAAAAGACTTCTAGATCAAGTCGATGGGTGGCTGAGGGGTGGAACGTTGACGGCATTGATGGTATGTGTCCTGTCCCTTGTCTTTCCTTTTTACTGATCAAATTCTATCTCAGGGTGTCGGTGGCGCTGGTAAAAGCATTCTGCTAGATGTCTTGGCCAATCGTCCGACTTCCGGTGTCGTCCATGGCGATATTCTGGTGAATGGTCAGGCTCGAAACATTGCCTCCAAGAACACGGCCGGTGTTGTGCACCAGCCTGATTTGCAGTTTCCTGCCGCGACTGTCAGGGAAGCATTGATCTTCAGTGCGATACTGAGGCAACCCAAAACGACCCCATACGTTGAGAAGATGGCCTATGTTGAGGAAGTTCTTCACCTCATTGGTATGGAAGCAGTTGCCGATACAGCCATGGGAACAGGTGAAGAAAGCATGTCCTTGAACATTTACATTACTGCATGCTGATCATGTTGCAGTTTTGAATAGCGAACAACGAAAACGACTGGCGATTGGAATCGAGCTTGCTGCCAAACCTACCAACGCGCTTTTTCTCGAACAACCGCTGTCGGGTTAGTGACATCAGCATCAATGGTAGAAGAGGATTACTGACTTGGAATACTCCGTCCCAGGACTGGACAGTCAGGCTGCTCTATCTATATGTGCGCTCCTGCGGAAGCTTGCACAGAAAGGCTTGGCTATCCTGTGTACCATCAATCAACCGTCTGCACGGCTTCTGCAGTCTTTTGATCGACTGATCCTGCTCGCCAAGGGAGGCAAACAGCTATATTTTGGTAAAATAGGTGTCTCTTGCAAGACGGTGACCAGATACTTCGAACAAAACGGGGCCAGACCATGCAATGCAGAGGAGAACCCTGCAGAATGGGTGTTCGAGGTCACCGGTTCCACGGCTGATTCTGACAGTCCACAAGATTGGCCAGAGGCTTGGAACAGTTCTCCCGAGCGGAAGGCTGTGAAAAGTAAACTTCTTCAGCTGAAGGAAAAGTTTGCGGCGCAGCCGGAATCGGTCAACGATCCCAGTTCCTCGGACACGATTCAGCAGTCAGTCGCTGGATTTGACGTGATGGACCTCCAGCGTGAGTCGGGATAACTCTTTTTCATTTTCGTCATTCTCGATCCTCGACGTGTCTGACTCGAGTCTAGGCGCTTACTATAAGTATCTTTTGTTGGAAAAGATGCAGCTCCCTCTGGATTATCCAAAACCAGATATCTACGGGGGTTGGCTCCCAAACTCTGCAGCTATACATCGCGCACTATATTCTCTCTGAAGATCAAACGAAGCTCAGTCATCAATCCGCCCTGTCAGTGTTGTTGTCTTTGGTATACCCTCTTGGGTACGTGGCTGTTGTTACGGATGAGGACGAGCTAAAGAGAACAGCTTTTTGAGTCTCGTTCTTTATGCAATCCTACGGTAGAAGGTACACGGATTCAACTATTATTGATAGAATTTCGACAATTCATCTGAACTGTTCCTTTCTACTCAGAGGCTTCTGCAGTTTAGACACGCTAATGCTCAAGCCTGCCGACTAGTATTGACGCTCTGCTCTGAGGTTAATGATCCTCAGTGGCCACGGCTGTATCCCAACTCTTAGACATGAATCTGAGACGAAATGAAGCAAAACATAGCAGCATTATCATTGCGAGCTCACCGAGAGTCAAACAGCGTGGAAGCTCCAATGCATCAAGGCTTTTCAATGTTCAGTGATTGGACCTGTCATCTGCAACAAAGAAACGGAGATAGTCCCCTGGCGGGATTGCAGCAGGTCGCTGAGTAGATGTAGCTGGGACAGACTCGTTTCACTGTCATCCGTCTCCCGCAGTATTAAACTCACGTCATTTGGAGACAGGCTCGGACCCCGTCATCTTCCTCAGGCATGGCAGCGGCATCATGCAGTTTACACAAGATCCGGCTCGTACACTGTGCGAGGGATTGTGATTCTTGAGTCCAGCTTTGCGGCCTGGGCGAATGGGAAAGGATACTGTGACATCTCGAGAAATGTGTCGAAGGTTATGCTGCAACAGCTGGGTTGGTATCTGTCGACAAAATTCGATCAGAAGTGTTTGTCCGAGCAAATCAAGGTAAGACCACGATGGTCAATTGCCTCTGTAGATGTGGTGCAATCTCGCAACATTTCATTCGATCAGCCTACCGTGAACGACCAACTCCGACGCAGACTACTGCAGTAGAGGAATTTCGAGGTCCTCTCCAGTAATCACCGATTACAGACATGTGAGAGCGTCCAATTGCGCGCTGATGAGGTGTAACCTTCACGTGGAGTGCAACGCGTGAGTGATTGGCGTCTTCTCGCTGATCCTCAGTTTCGGATTCTAGGCTACGTACAAACAACAATGTGCCTAGTGGTTGGAATTGTGCTCACTGCTGAGCAACTTACTAGTACCAATCCCGAGGCACGCACCGTGGCGCCGGTGCGTGGTGGAGCAGCACAGCTGACTCCAGCACGACTCGAAGGGCAATGGCTACTTAAGACGATTTATTAAAGAAAAAAGAAGAAAAGGACCCAGCCAACCGCTAAACTCCGCACAAACCGCATTTCTGCATGGCCTGAGGGGGCATCTACATACAATCCATGCACCCGAGGTTTCCACCCACGCAAAGTTCTCTTCAAGAGGAGCTCCCCTGGCCGGTCGAGGTGTCCCACACCTACTCGGTACACCGAGAGATTCCAGAAAAGCACCCACAAACGAGTCAACGTCGGTATATCTCTTGGATCCTTCGTTTGCGGACGTCGTGACATTTTCATCAGCATGAAGTATGTTCTCCCCTCGTCTCTTCTCATGTCTTTCATCACTGCTCAAACTGCCACGCAGTACTGCCCTTCCACCGACGAAATATGGCGTCGTTGTTTTTCCTGGATTCCAGGCGCTTGGTAGGTTGAGAGATATTGATGTGTTGGGATCCCAAGGAGGAATGTGATGCTGTTGATTGCCATCTGATCCTCGAGCCGCACCAGACGTCTTCGGGCCCCTCAGTACCTTGAACGTCCTGTCCCGAGACCACAGCATGGAGCTTGCTGTGATAGCCGAGTCCTTGACGCCAGTATCAACCAATCCAGAACCAAATCCCTTTGTGTCGTCTTCATTCGGACAGGAGATTTTGCCGACCCACACCTTTACAAATGCACCCGAAGTGGAAGTGCTAATCATTCCTGGAGGTGCGTATTGCGAGATGAAAGAGCATCTACTTTGCGTTGTCGACGATGAAACTGACAAATTCTCCCAGGTTTTGGGACTCGCAATAAAGTATCAATGGCTCCTGTCGAATCATACATTCAATCCGTATTCTTCAATTTGAAGTACGTGATTACTATCTGCACAGGGTCTGCTATCCTCGCGGGCATGAGCCTCCTGGACAATCGGCGAGCGACAACTAACAAATGTACTTGGTCCTTGGTGACGCCGCTCGGGCCAAAGGTCAAATGGGTACGAAAGGCCCGATGGGTTGTTGACGACACCCCCGGAGTCACACCGGTGTGGAGTTCTTCAGGGGTCTCTGCGGGCATTGATGTCACGTTTGCATTCATCCAGATGTTGTATGGTGCAGGGACAGCCGAGTCGGTCGCAAATGTTATGGAATATGAGAGACATTTGGATGACAAATGGGATCCATTTGCTGACGTTTGGGGGGTCACGGGAGATCTTGATTGAAGAAGATTGAAGTACCCCCAGCGACTCAGGCTATCCTCATTCCGATTCTCAACATTGGAATCAGCATGAATATTGCGACGGATTGTGGGCTTTTAACTACCCTCCTTCAGTCATTATTGCGAGTAATGTATTACGAACCAAAGTCTCCGCCTAGACTTTGTATGTAGAAGGTCGAGTTGGGTCGGATCGAGTTCTCTCTAGCTATTGAACTGGGGGCGAGGCTCTTAGCCAGAGGCATCAACTCGTACGGCGGCGGGCATGGTTTTGTTTGGGGGTAACGGTCATCGCACAGTAATAATAAAACAGCGTAGAGAGTCCTGATCAGATTGATTCCATAACTTTGATTGATCACTGTCCTCAACTCAATGATTGAGTTCTCCGTTAGTGGATGGATCCTGTTGAAGGATCAAGGAAAAAGGGATCTCAGACCTACGGATTTATTATATACCGCAGTGGAAATTCTTTGACTAACCTACCCGATATGGTTAGGGCAACAGTCTGATGACATGCCAAGCGGCAAGACTTGTCAAGGCCATCCTCGTCTGGGACGACGTTAGATCTTGACTTGAATTTGGATTGTGACAACACCAAGAAACTCCAGAAAAGGGTGGAAGATCCGGGACAGAAAAGGAACATGAATTTGTTCAAAGGGAGAACTCGAATGTGTCATAACGCCTTCCGGACTCCCGAGTCGTCGTAAACACTCTCCGGTTCACTCCAAAGTCCACATGAGTCTTTACTTGAGACACCAATCGTCTTGGGTACACAAAGCGGCTGGAGAATTTGCCGAACACTGCAAACACCGGCGATTCGCCATCTCGGCAAATCCCACACGGGGTGAGGCGGTATAGCAGTCTAGTAACTACAGGCCTGACGGCTCATTTGTGAAAGCCTGGAAAAGTCTACGGGTAGGATCTTTTGTCCGCCTTGAGCGTCGTGCCCCGGCTCTGACTGCGGGGTATAGCACGAATACGAGGCGAGGCGTATCGAAGTACTCACAGTAGTAGTAGTGAGCGTCTTTCAAGCTAAAGCAGCTAGCCGAAGGTTACCGACGACAATTGCTGTGGATGCTATGTCAGAAAGACTCTAACGCCGGGTATTGCCCGCTCACAAGAACGGTCATGCTTGGGACGAGGAAACAACAGGTACCGAGTAGTTGGAGTATAATACTACATGCACTGCAGAAGCGTCAAACCTCTGGCCGAGGGTGGCTCGGCTCGACGACAACAACAATGAGATCGATCCTTCCTGGACCAATCAGTAAGTGGTTGCAACGACGTCCAGTGGGGATGACATCAATCCCCTCTGAGTTGTGACATGGTCGATAGGTTTCTTCCCCGCGCCGCCAGGTACGTGGGAACAAGAAAAACAGCGGGGCATGGAGATGTTCAAGGCACTAGACCTCAAGAGGAAGGCAATCACCAGAAACGGTATAGTCTCATGTCGATCTGTGTGGAGGGCCCTTGTCCACGGGCAACAGGCTAACCGTATCCCAGGATATGCTGAATACAGGGGCCGTTGCGATGGATAAGTACCTAGGTAGGTAGTATCTCAAAGGTATCAAAGGAGAACAAACAATGCCGTGCTTGCCGCAGTACCGAGGTCCGTCCTCCCCAGATCAAAACACCTCCTTCCACCAGCTCCCCCAAGCTAACAATCCTTTTTTGACACGTAAAGCGATATACCGCCTCCCGACTATGTTGGGTCTAGTAGCTAGGCAGTGTAGCAATCTCTATGCTCATCTTCCGGTGTGGTGAAATCGTGATCGGTAGACCCTTTTCTTCCACCCCCCCTCTCTATCTCTGTCTGCGGCACCGACTAACGAGAAGTAGAGAATCGTCGGGATGGGGCTCATGTTGACTATTTAGAAAGAGTAGATGTTCCCCGAGTTTGTGGAGTTTGTCCAGTCTTTCGTCATCCGGCCACAGTTTTACTTCTTCCCCTCTCCTCTCCAGCCGAGTACAAACTTGCCTCCAAAATGCGTCTCTGGGGACGAGGTCTAGCGACCACCTTGAGTGTTGCTGTCAAATTCAGCATCACCGTCGCGCCGGGGCACGCCGCCCCGACGGCTGGAGCGCCCGTCATGGCCTGTGAGGCCATTCCAAAGCCGGATGTGCCTGGGGCCACAGTGGTCTCCATCACTGGCGTGCGGAATATGAGCTACTCGGTGCCGGCCACCGCTAGATCCCCAGGCATCAGCGGCCTGGCCATCTGTGACGTCGTTGTCACGCTATCGCACCCGGGAGCGAACGACCTGGTGACAGTCGAGGTCTTCCTCCCCCTGGCGGGGTGGAATGGGCGCTTTCAAGGCGTCGGCGGCGGTGGATACGACACTGACAACGGCCAGGTCTCACTGGCGCCCGCAGCCTCGTCGGGCTATGCCGCCGGCATCACCGACGGAGGGCACCCCATCACCGACGTCGAACCGGTTTGGGCGTTGAGCGCCGACGGTACGACCAACTGGCCATTGGTGGTGGACTTTGCCTCGCGGTCTCTGCACGACATGACCGTTGTTGGCAAAGCCGTGACCACCAGCTTCTACGGTGCGCCGCCGCATCACTCTTACTGGAATGGATGTTCCACGGGCGGCCGTCAAGGAATGATAGAGGCCCAGAGATACCCCGGCGACTACAACGGTGTTTTGGCCGCCGCCCCCGCGATCAATTGGCCCACGCTGCTCGTGGCCGGCGGGTGGCCTCAGGTTGTCTACCACGATGCGGGTCTGTTCCCGTCCCTGTGCGAGCTAGACGCATTCACCAATGCTAGCATTGCAGAATGTGACGGACTTGACGGGCTTGTTGACGGCATCATTGGGAATCCGGCCACTTGTCCGTTTGAACCTGCCCAGCTGGTGGGATCCCAACTCGACTGTTCGAGCTACGGCGGCGGCGAGGAGGTGACTGTCACTTCTCAGGTGGCCGATATCGTCAGCAGGATCTGGGCCGGTCCAACGACCCCATCGGGGTCACGGCTCTGGTACGGTCTCAACAAGGGCGCCCCATTGTCGACGTTGGCCAACACCACGACGCTCCCCAACGGGACGTCGGTCGGGGTTCCCGACTTCTTCTCCTCCACTTGGGCCGCCTATTTCCTCAAGCGAGATCCCACGTTCGACTACTCGACGGTCGACTACAGTCAGTTCCTGGATTTCTACATCCAGTCCAACGACGAGTACGAATGGGCCATCGGGACGAGGAACCCGGACCTCGCGCCCTTCCGTGACCTGGGCGGCAAGATGATTACGTGGCACGGCCTGGCGGACCCGCTGATCATGACCAACAACACCATCGACTACCGGGAGTGGGTTACCGCGCTCTTTGGCGGTAGCAACGCCGCTGTCGACGAGTTCTGGCGCCTGTTTCTGGCCCCCGGCGTCAACCACTGTGGTGGCGGCCTGGGCGCTGTGCCCACGGATCCGCTGGCCGCGCTGGTCACCTGGGTCGAGCAAGGCGTGGCGCCTGAGACGCTGTCGGCTTCGTCGCCACGGGCAAACGGCACAACGGCCGAGCATCATCTGTGCCTGTATCCCTTGACATCCAAGTATACGGGCGGCGATCCGGCCGTTGCTACCAGCTACAGCTGCGTGCCTGTGTAACCAACAACAACAACAACAACAGGGAGGGGTCCCGTGAACCACGAGGCTGTGATATTGCGTTCCATTCCATCAGGGCTGTGGTTGTCTCGTGTCAGGAAGTGACCAAGGCGTAACACGGGGATTCCAAGACTCCTGTCTTGTTTTGTTTTTTGTAGATCCGTCACAAAAATGTGAATGTTGTTGCCAGTTTCCACTGAAAAGCAAATTTGCACAGGACCAATGAAAGAAACTCCCCATCAACCGAAGAGTGGTAGGAATCTGGGCCCAAATTCCTCGACTTTTTAATATGGGTCTGAATAGCTGAAAGAGAAACAGTCCAGTTCACAACCAGGTTTGCATCACGAGTCTCCTTGCCTTCTCGGCCTTGGTGCGGAATGCGTCAACCCCTTCAGAGTCATGACTTGATGATTGCTAGGCGCAGAGATTGGAATTCAGCATTCCATCACTCAAGTTTTGGGGCTTCGCGCACCGACTGCATGACAATCTGGTAAACAAAGACGCGTCGGTTGTTGGCTCGAGCCCGTCCTAGCATATATAACGACGTGTTGGTCCTGGTTTTGTTGACTTGGTTTTCTCTGCCTTTCGTAAACGTTTCTCACTCTCGCCGAGACGACAAGAGTACCATCTCCCTCGTTCTCTAAACAAATCCTTCCTCCAAAAGGGTTCAAGACAGCCGTTTCAGACACCATGAATAGGAAGCCGCCGATGAGACGAGAATTTGCGCCACCGAGTGCCGCGCGGGACATGAAAAAGGCCTTGCTGGAGTTTCAGTTTTCCGATTTCGAAAAGTATAGGGACGCATGGATCAACCAGGATAGCGTCGAGCACGATAAAGTTAATCGAAGAATAAACCAAGCCTGCTTACTATGGGGTGAAAACAATCGCAAGTTATGGCCAATGAGTTTGGTGCCGATTGAGGCCTTCAAGCACGACAAGAACAATGACTTGGTTCGCCTCTTTCCACACAAAGTATGGTGTTTGGCCGACCTGGCACCTAATAGCTTCCTCTATTGGAACGAAGGCAACAACACGGCTTCTTCCACTCAAGAGGCCTGGGCTGCGGCGCAAAGCCACGGCCCACTTGAAGTGGGAGAAGGACCTTGCCATTTCTGGACTGCCAGCTTTTCCAGCCCTTCTGCGGATAAGTCGACGCTGCGATCCACCTATCGCACCAGCAGCCACGCCGACAATCCAGAGTTTGACATTGACTGCGCTATGATCAGCCTCTTGGGCATTCGCTATTATCCCTGGTTTGACGCTCCGAGCAAGAAAACTTCGAAACCGTTTCTTTACTTCATCGACTATCATGGGCTGGATGATTTGAGCCAACACCCCAACCGTCAGGAAATGCCGAGGGTCGTGAGTGTTCTCGGCCAACTCTGCATTACAGGCCATTATTGGCGTTACGATGAGCCAGCGTCAGATCCAGCGCCAAAGGAGAGCCTCACGCCGTCCTGGTTCGCTGTTGTTGTCGACCTAGAACGACCAGAGAGACCGGTATGGCTTGTCCGAGAGCTTCGTGCTTTCAGGTTCTCGAAATTTTCGCGTCACAGGCCGGACAGGAAAAAGGTAAAGGAATATGACATTCCAGAGAGCGAGCGAAAGTATCCACCAAGGACGCCACATTACTCGGCAGAAGCAGGCGCTAAAGACTTCTTCCATCGCCTAGCTGAGAACGACACCGATCTTATCAAGATGTTCTCTTCGGTTAGTGAATGGGACCATGCTGAGTTGGATGCAGCTACTTTGAAACAATATCTCTGGGACAAGAAGAACCGATTCCAAAAGGCCATACCTCGATTCAGACCCGTTCTTCCGCTCAAAGGCAGCGAGTTCAACGCTAAGGACAAACCTATGATAGATGAACTGCCCCGGTCAACATAGCCCGAATTTTCCCAGCGGAAAAGGGTCTGACCAAATCAATCACGTCCTCGAGGGCCGTGACGGGGTCGGTCGAAGGGAGTTCGGGTATGTCAAGTAGGGGTTGGGCTTGACCTGGCTCGGTCTCACGAGAGGCGTCCAGCTTACCGCTCCTCCGAGTTGAATGCTTTTACAATCAGCAATTAGACGTGTCAGGATTCAACCGGATCAGAGACCAATGGAAGAGAAAGTGTCATTTCCTACTCGCAGGTGCGCCGGCTATTCATGGATGTAGACGTCTTGCCCCGTAGCATGGACAGCCTAGTCCATTTTCAGTGTTCGCAGGACTCGCTTCTTCATTTGCTTTTGATCCCGCGTTCAGCACTCCTCCTCCGCCTCTTACCTTCTGTAGTAATAGGTATGAAGCGCTTTTTGAAAGCGTTGATATGGTAGCATTCGAAAGATTCGCGAAAAGCAGTCGAGCGTGGCCTGAAGTGTTCGTGGAGACGTTCTCACTTTTGCCCTGCGAAGGGAAGTTGAACGCATGCCTATCGACAGCTTGCGGTCAAGGTTCAATGTATCAGAGCTAGCACGTTACTTTTGAGGCAACAAGACTCGTGGACGGGCCAAGTGCAACAACATCGTAACCGGCGGTGGCGGCAGCCCTGTTAAAAGCGGCGCAAGTATATTTACTGATGACTGGGACACGGACACTGTTGCCGCTTTTACCTCCTGGGGCTACCTCCAGAGCCTTTGGGCCGTACCGCAAAATTGTCTTGGCATCCCTTTCGCTTCAGCCTCGTGAGTAT